ACAACCATGTTTTGTATTTCGGCTTCGAGGGCCGTTTTTCGTTTGTTCTCAGCCAGATAGGCCGAAATCTTTTGGTAGTAATTTGACTCAGTCATAATGATCTTCGCTTGCCCAGCCAGTTGGTCGTATCGTCGAAGTCTCTCCATCTTCCTCAATCTCCTGCCCGTCCCACATGATTTCCCTATCCCATTGGAATCCATTGGGACGAAGGGTTAAAGAATAATAAGCGTTCTCATTGGGCTCGAAATATTCCTCAGGTGGGTGACATGGCCCTATGTTGGCCATATTTCGATCGAAGTTTCTTTTGTCCACATTGTTGATTTCTATCATATAGTAACTTTAGTCTGCTTCTATGTTTTCGAAAATTCCATCGTCTCTCCACAACACCAACCTTTGATGCATTGAAGAAGGCACAGCGCCAATTCCATGGATCCATTCCCTGCCAAGCAACAGATTGTAGTTTGCCTTCACAGCAATGACCATAAACATTGTTGGTCTTGTGAGGGAACCAACTGTCAAGTTAACTTGTATTACTCCCAAAGTCTTGCCAACCTTTCCTTCATAATTTGAAAGCACCATGTTGTGAGGTCTAACATCTGAATCCTGCATGCCTATCCTTTTTAGCATGAATTGAGGCATCAAATTAACAGCAGCTCCACCATCCACCAGAACCTTGTTCACACCATATTGCTCCACCTTTGCCCTGATGAATAAGGGTTTTAGATGGTTCTTCATTCCTTCATCTGGCTTTTCGAAGAAAGCGTTTTGCTCTTCGACCGCTCCATTGTTCATCACATAATAGCACACTGGCCTATGTCTGGCCATTTCGTCCTCGTCAGTCTCCTCACCAGCATAAAGCTCTGTATCCTGATTGTACTCACAAGGCAGCACCGAAACTACATTGCAGTTTGCATTAAAGAAGGATTCCCCTTCTGATTCGAAGTCATCAGTCATCAAGTCCTCTTCGTTTGCAGCCTCCTTCTGAGTCTTATTTTCTTCAGTGTCTTTCTGTGGTGAGAAAAGTTTCCTGGACACTGGGGGTTTTCCCCCAGTCTGGTTCACTGATGTTGGGTTATTGGTACTAGATTCTCCTATCCCCATAGGCTTCGAATCCCTTTCTGCTTTTTTATTTCTCTGGTGTCTGTGCCACTGAGAGCGAGACATTGGATTTCTGCCTTTGTAATTCTCCAGTCTTATTTCTTCCCTCCTATTTGAATTGAATTGCCTCCTGTAAGCCATCGCAGTCCTGCCTCCTTAGTCATAGCTGCGCCACTTTCCTTTTCCCTTATCAGCCTTCACCTGCAGCCATCTGTCAGTGGGGATTTCTGCAGGTAGTTTAAAGGAAACTCTCTTTACTCCCCTGGGGTAAGGGCTATCTGGCCTCCTTGGCATATTTCTGCCAGTATTAACAGCATTCGAAGGCGTTCTGCCTTGGTGCCCCCAGCCTGATGCAAACGGAATTCTCTCGAACGCTTCAGCCATTTCATTATCATACACCGCCGCACATCTTGGACACATTAAACACTATGTTCCAATCTTGTGGCAATGAACCAAGAATTCGAGCAGAATTTCATCATCTTTTGTATAGACTCTGTACAGTTGGTTGTCTTGTCTCCAGTTGATCCCTGTTCGTTCGCGCTGGGCCCTTTCGAACTCAGCAGCAACTTTGGGGTTGCAGATGATGCTGCACCTTGGGCACATCAACTTATCCTAGTTTTTCTTATGACAGTGGAAGAGGTATTCGCGCAAACCCGCGTCTTTTCTAGGTAAGTTATCTCTTCTTTGCTCTCTCTCCCTCTCCAAACAACGTTCCACTTCTTCCATTTCAGCGTTGGGCTGTTCGAAGTCCACCATATTCACTCCCAGCATTTGACCATCAGAAATTTTGACTTCTTCAAATTTCATCCTGAGACCCTCAGTGGCCTCAGTTAATTTTTCGTCACTTAGTATCTTTGCTTTGAGCACCTTTGGGAGGCTATCAGTAGCCTCTCTTTCATTCTTGATCAAGATGAAGTCCCCATCCTCTTTGAAATCCACTTTCGATTCAACTTTCCTCTCAACAGTTTCTACTACATTGATGTCCAGAGGTTCAACATAGTTAGTCTCCGCCATCAGCAACGGATCCGTATCAACTTTCATTGGATTCTTCCCTTTGTCTGAGAACTTCAGCCTGTCATCTTTGATTGCGTTTTGTATCAGATCCCTGAAAAGAAAACATTGTGAGGTTTTATAGCCTAAAAAGTTTTGATATTTACAAAAGCCCATTTTCTTCCTTTGTTCCAATGGAGGAATCTTAAGGTTAGGAGGAACTATTAACTGGCCATCTTTAACAAGCAGATCAAATATTTCATCACATTTAGTTATATTGAAAGTATAGATTTTCTTGGGGAATTTATCATTCTTTTCACTTTCGACAAAATCCTTTCCATTGGACGGAAGCAGAACTTTGCAAGCATAATGGGGTGCTTCTTTTAGTTCTGCAAGATCTATTTCGAACTGATCGAAATCATAAGGGTCTTGAAAATCATCTATGCTTTCCTCTTCAGCCTCTATGTAGGCTATTCTCTCTTTCTTATGATTTTTACTAGCCCTAGCTTTTTCAACTTTTAACCTTTCGACCTGACGAACTCTGTCTGCTAGTTGGGCCATATCTCTAAGATATTGTGTATTCAATTTCTTTCGAATGGAATAATCTAGGCCTTCAGCAGCCATTTCGACCAATTCATGTTCAGGGACCACTGTGAAGCATCTAGATTTTAATAAACGAAACCTATTCAAATAATCATCTATTGGTTCCGTGAATTTCCTCTTAATGCTTGCTAATTCTTTGAGACTAATTTTAGACTGACCCATGTAAAATTGTTCATGGAAAAGTCTTTCTAAATAAGGCCATGTGTCCACAGATCCAGGGAGCAAGGTGGTGAACCAAGTGAAAGCGTTCTTCGTTAGAGAACTTGGGAAGTATTTTATCCTAAGATTTTCATTATTTGCTATATCTCCCGCTTCGGTAAAATATCTCGGTATATGTTCCACTGTTGATTCACTCGTGTCTCCAGCAAATTTTGTGAATTTAGGGACTTTAAAGCCCCTGGGTAATTCTGTTTGCAGAACATAGTCTACAATAGGAGATGTGTAATTTGGCCTCCTAAATCCTGAATTTAAACCATTCTGGGCCATTATTCTTTCGATCATGGTGGTGAGGTTATTTTCTGCCACTAAATTGTCATTTCTAATTCTATGAACAATTTCGTCTGCATTTTGGTCCATATTCACCATCATTATTGGTCTAGGTTGTTCATTCTGAACTTCCTGAACTTCCTGGTTCCTTAATCTTACCCCTATATTTCTCTCTTCGACCACTTGTACAGGGGGTCGAATTTGTTCAATTGTGGATTCTTCATTTCGAATCACCACTGGGTTTTGCCTGCGCCTTGCAGGCGCATTAGGGGCACCAAAAAAATCTGCTATTCTAGCCATTTGGGCTGCATTTTCTTGGTTTGTTCTATTTATATTCTGGATTAGGGGTAGACTGCCTTAGGAAAGAGCTTGTGTGACCAACCCTTGAGCAACCTTGAGCAACTTGGAGATTTTTCTTGCAATGTTTTGAGAAATATGGGAGGGCAAATTTTGGGGTACAACAACTGCTCTGCGAGAATAGGATTGGACCCGTGATTTTTAGAGGGCAGTTTAAGATGGTTGTCGTGGGATCGTGGGTCACGCCCTCCAATAGTTAGATGGGGAGTTGCCCAACGGTCCCTAACTTGAGTTATCTTTGAGCTTATCATTCGAAAGACAAATGTAGACTCAATCCAAATCAATAAATATAAGTGTTGCTTGATGGCACCTAAAAACCTATATAACCACAATTAAACAATTATAACAGTTAGAAAATGTAATTTCTATCATGCAATAATTTTATAAAACAGAAAAGATCTTCCAAAAGTAAATTCATGGTTCAATTAAACTAATGCTATTTGAAATAGCCTTTGTATGATCTATAACCAACTCCTCTCCATCATAGTTTACTCTCCTAACTTCATGTACTACTAACTCCTCTCCATCATAGTTTACTCTCCTAACTTCATGTACTTCCAGGGCCATGATACTTGTTAAATCAATAAAATATATATCTCACTAAAACATATAACTTAAACCGATTAAATCAATAAAATAAAGACAAAAATTAATTACACAGATACAAATAAAGAGTAAGTCAACATAACTATAAGCAAAACATGTGGTGGGCGAACTTGAATTTAAATAGACCAGTAATAAATTAAAAGAGAAAAAGAAAGAAATAATCTACTATATGAGAATCAAATCTTAAACAGATTTGTGTGAGCTTTGTATTCACCAAAACTCTTCCGTGTTCAAAACACCATAACATACATAGTAGCAAGACTTGAATAATACCTTGCTTTCTGTTCTTCTTCTCACATGCAGCTACAAAATTCCTATCTGCAACTCCCAAGTAAAGCTGGTTTGGACTCTTGATGGTAGCATCTAAATCTTACTCACTTTCTTGAAGAAATATCTCAAGAATCTGAAAACTCAAACATCAAAATAAAGATAAAAGTTTAAAATAAATATTAAAACAAAAATACAACTTTGTAAAAAGATTACCTATCCTACTTAAATCTAATACTTAAATAAACAAATATAAACAAAGTAAATGAGAGAGTGAAAGAAGACTTTAGGTATTCTATAACAAACTCGCCTCTTTTTCAAAATGCAGGGGCTATACTTCATTTCCAAAAAAGAAAAAAATTGTGAACAATTTAAAGAATGATTCGAGATGATTCTGGTTGACAAAGGTATCTCTCACGTTTTTAGGGTTTACTTACATAAATCGTTGGGATGGCTATTTGTAGATTTAGAGTTTTTTTTCTTGATGTTGATGGTTTTTCACATAAATCGTTGAGATGGTTTTTTTCCACATAAAGAAGTAATTTTTTTGAGAAATCTGAATATTATAAGGCTTTGTATAAACCTATAATAATATGTTTTTGCATTTCACCAATGAGAATATATCTGTTTTTGCTATTAGCAGGTCAAACAACTTGTATGCATGGGATCTCAGCTCGGGTCGAGTCCATCATACCCTTACTTTTTATTAACACAAATAAAGCTTATACCGAGTAGGCTGCTCAAATGGTTGCAGGTCTAGACACAGGTGTATCGTGGATTATGTGAAGCAAGAAGATTCTCCTAATCCTATTGTAAGCAATCTTTTCTTTTTACAAATTTTAGAAACGTTTTGTGTAGTGTGTGACTTTGAAGCTTTTTTGTTTGTTACAAAATTCTTATCCTGATCCTTAAACTTTTTATGACCTGTTTAGTGGTGGGGTTTATAACAGTGCCATTCTTCATGTTTTAGTTGTGTCTATATGTACCATGGAAGAATGAGGTTGTATCATTGAGTATCCATATGTTATGTTTTACATTATGCTGTTCAACAAATCAAAAAATTATTTATAACTTACTGGAACATTGCAGGGTCTCAGACAATGGATTAAAGGGTTCTATTAATTATCAGGTCATTTCTCCAAAAGACCTAGCAAAATCTGTTTCATCTGAAGCAGGCTGGTCAAATTACATAGTATTACACTAATTTTTAAGACTAATTTCGTAGTATGTATTATGCAGTGAAAGATGAAGTGCTATTTGTATCAGCTTGTGTTAGTTGTTCTGAGTAAGTTCTGTTCAACTGTAATGCTGAGCTGTCTTAGTTTGTTAGATCATAACAAAATTTTGTTATTCTAGCTCTCTATATAAACAGAGCTATCATTGTATCTCTAATTAATAATGAATACAATTGATATTTGATCTAACTGTATTTTCTGTTAGCTTTATGATATTCTATCATGGTATCTAGAGCATTCTTTTCGATCCAGTAGTGGTTCTCCATGGATTCCCTATTTCCTTCTTCGCAAGTGAAGTTGTCACATCTTATCTCTGTCAAGCTTGATGATAAGAATTTCAAGCAGTGGAAGCAACAAATCGATGGTGTTGTTCGTGGCCATCGGTTACAACGATTTGTTACTGTACCGGTGATTCCACCGCCGCCATTGTCTGGTTCTGATTCGTCACCTCACGGTGCGAATTCTGCGTATTGCGAGTGGGAACAACAAGATGCGCTCATATGCACTTGGTTGTTATCCACCATCTCCGATTCCATTCTTCCCAAACTCGTTGACTGTAGACATGCATGGCAAGTCTGGACAGAGGTTCATCGGTACTTCGGTACACTCCTATCCACCAAAGCTCGTCAACTGCGCTCGGAATTACGCCGCCTTACGAAAGGCACTCTTACGATTGCTGAATTGATGATTCGTGTTCGCGAAATCAGTGAATCACTGGTTTCGATCGGCGATCCCGTTCCTCTTCGAAACCTAATTGAAATTGTGCTCGATTCTCTTCCTGAGGAATACGACTCCATTGTCGTCGCCGTCAACAGCAAAGAAGAAGTCGGTTCACTCGATGAACTTGAGTCGTCGCTGCTGGCACATGAATCGCGTCTGGATAAGCATCGCAAAGCAGTTCTCACTGAGCCGGTGACGGTCAATTTAACTCAGGCGTTGACACCGTCGTCGCCGGCTACGTCAGATCATTCCAGTGCTGGTACTGAGGCCTTTCCACAGGGAACAAGTCATGTTACTGCCAATGCTGAGAATCATAGCTATGGTGCACGTGGTGGCCGTTCAAATCGTGGAGGCGGCCGTTTTGGCCGTGGAGGTGGCCGTTTTGGCAAAACTCATTGTCAGATTTGTCACAAATCTGGACACGATGCGTCCATCTGCTATTATCGTTACTCAAATTCTGCTGCTGGAATGTATCAGTCTCAGAGAGCTCCCTACAATCCTTTCATGATGCCATCACGACCTATGTACCAACCTCCCTTTAGCTATGGTGTTCCAAGAGCTGCTTCCTCTCGTGCATCTTCTCCACAGGCTTTCTATGCAAGCACTGATGTTGGCTTCAGTAATCAATGGTGGTATCCTGATTCCGGTGCGTCCCATCATGTTACTCCTGATCCCTCAAATGTGTCTGAATCTATTTTTGTGCCTGGAACTGAGCAAGTGTTTATGGGAAACGGCCAAGGTTTGTGTATTCATTCTATTGGTTCTATGCCTTTTCCTTTACCCAACCATCCTCACATGTCTCTCACTTTGCAAAATCTCTTACTCGTGCCTCACATCACTAAAAATCTTATGAGTGTTAGCAAATTTGCTCAGGACAATAAGGTTTTCTTTGAGTTTCACCCAAAATTTTGTGTTGTCAAATCCCAGGCTTCTTCTGAAGTTTTACTTCGTGGTCTGGTGGGCGCAGATGGTCTCTACAAATTTCCTGTTCCAGCCTTACAAAATTTCAAGTCCTCACCAAGTCTCAACTCCTGCCTAGCTGAGTCTTCAAAACAGTGTAGTAGTAGTACTTCAAGTAGGTCTGTAGGCAATACAAATGATTCATACAAGTGTATTTCTCTGTGTACTGCTGATCTATTCATGAATAAAGATAATTCCATTTGTTCCACTTTACCTTCTCTCAATGCTACTACTTATAATTCTTTATCATCTCAGCATGTGAATAATTCTTCGGCTATAGCAACAAATAAATATGTTTTATGGCACTCTCGTTTAGGTCATCCTCATCATCATGCTCTCACTGAGGTGTTTAAACTGTGTCAATTTTCTGCTCCTTCTAAACCACATGCAGAACTGTGTTCAGCTTGTTGCTTAGGCAAATCTCACAGGCTTCCCACCTCTCTGTCTGCCACTGTTTACAAGCAGCCTTTTGAGCTTGTTGTTTGTGATCTATGGGGTTCTGCTCCCATGCTGTCCTTAGGGGGTTATAGCTATTTCCTAACTTGTGTTGATGCCTTCTCTCGCTTTGTGTGGGTCTTCCCTCTTAAACTTAAGTCTGATACTCTCTCTCAATTTGTTCAATTCAAGAAAATGGTTGAACTTCAATTTAACTTTCCTATCAAAAGTGTGCAGAGTGATGGAGGGGGTGAATTTAGGCCATTCACCAAGTATCTCAATGACTTAGGCATAGTCCACAGATTCACATGCCCACATACCCACCATCAAAATGGCATAGTTGAGCGCAAACATCGCCATATTGTTGAAACAGGTCTAGCCTTACTTGCACAGTCCACATTGCCCTTGAAATTTTGGGACCATTCCTTTGTTACAGCAGCCTACCTAATTAATAGACTCCCTAGTGTCAGTCTCAATAATCAGTCCCTTTATTTCAAACTTCTCAACAAACAACCTGATTATTCTTGCCTAAGAGTTTTTGGATGTTCCTGTTTTCCTTTTCTCCGCCCTTACAACTCTCACAAACTTGATTACCGGTCTCAAGAATGTATATTTCTAAGGTATTCCACTTCTCATAAAGGCTACAAGTGCCTAGCTCCTAATGGTCACATCTACATATCTAAGGATGTCTTGTTCCAAGAGTCCATATTCCCTTATTCCAAATTATTTTCTGAATCTTCTAAACCTTCCTCATCTACCACACCTCAATCTTCCACTTTTTCTTATTCCAGTGCGCCTCTCATGTCACCAACTCCTATTTCTCAAGTCAGTTCTGACCCATCCATTTCTGCTACTCCTCTTTCTTCTACTCACATTCATTCTACCTCCAATAGCTTACATAACAATGTCCCTGAATCACCCAACTCAGCTGAGCAGTCCCCTGTTCTGTCTAGTTCTCCCAACACCTCTACATCCACACCTGCTCTTATCACTTCTGATTTAGCAGAAGCAATTACCATATCCCCATCTTCTTCCCCTGCTATATCTCAATCTGTAAGTCCCACTTCCTCTCCTAATTCTCAGCCTTTCATCAATCCTTTTAACACTCACCCAATGCAAACAAGAGCCAAAAGAGGCATTGTACAACCTAAACTAAACCCTACCTTGTTACTGACTCATCTTGAACCAACCTCTGTTGGTCAAGCCTTGGTTGTTCCTCACTGGTACCAGGCAATGAAGGAAGAATATCAGGCACTGATGAGAAATCAGACCTGGACACTGGTGGAACCATCTGAATCAAGGAAACCCATCGGCTGCAAGTGGGTTTTTCGGGTAAAAGAGAATTCTGATGGTACTCTTAACAAATATAAGGCCAGATTGGTGGCCAAAGGCTTCCATCAGCAGGCTGGAAGTGATTTTTCTGAAACCTTCTCACCTGTTGTAAAACCTGTTACAGTAAGGACAGTTTTGACACTTGCCGTCACTCACAAGTGGACCATCCAGCAAATCGATGTGAATAATGCCTTCCTCAATGGCACTCTTGAGGAGGAAGTGTTTATGCAGCAGCCACCTGGATTTGAGTCTTCTAATAAGTCCCTTGTGTGTAAGTTGAATAAGGCAATTTATGGGTTAAAACAGGCCCCAAGGGCCTGGTTTGACAAGCTTAAAAATGCCCTCATTCAGCAAGGTTTTCAGGCCAGTAAATGTGATCCTAGTCTATTTTTTTTTGCATCAGGGCAGACTTCAGATAATGATTCTGGTTTATGTGGATGATATTATCATCACAGGAAATTCTGCTCCATTCATTACAGCCCTAATCAAACATCTCAATGAGGTTTTCTCTCTAAAACAGTTGGGCAAATTAGACTATTTTCTAGGCATTGAAGTCACACATTTGCCTAATGGCTCACTTCTGCTATCTCAAAGCAAATACATCATTGATTTACTAGCCAAGGTGAACATGACCAGTGCAAATGGTATGCCCACACCCATGGTTTCCAGCAGCAAATTATCCAAAATAGGTTCTATTAAGGTTGATGATCCTACAGAATTCAGATCAGTGGTTGGGGCTCTGCAGTATGCTACACTAACTAGACCAGAAATCTCTTTTTCTATCAATAAAGTTTGTCAATTTCTGTCCAATCCTTTGGAAGAACATTGGAAGGCAGTGAAGAGAATATTAAGGTATTTAAGTGGTACAAAACATCATGGTCTGCTCATTCAACCAACCTCTCTTCAGCAGCCTCTGCAATTACTTGGTTTTTGTGATGCTGATTGGGCTTCAGACCCAGATGACAGGCGATCTACCTCTGGTGCCTGTGTGTTTCTTGGCCCTAATCTGATATCTTGGTGGTCTAAAAAGCAGCAGTTAGTGGCCAGGTCCAGTGCTGAAGCAGAGTATCGCAGCATGGCACATCTGGCTGCAGAATTGTTATGGGTGCAGTCTCTGCTCAGGGAGTTGCATTGTCCTTTTCTAACTCCTAAAGTTCTATGCGACAATGTGAGCACTGTAACTCTTGCTCACAATCCAGTTCTCCATAATAGAACTAAGCATATGGAGCTGGACATTTTCTTTGTTAGAGAAAAAGTCCTCAACAAGAGTCTTGTTGTGGCTCATGTCTCTGCTCAAGACCAATGGGCTGATGCACTTACTAAACCTCTATCTGCAAACAAGTTTCTGCCCCTTCGTTCTAAGCTCATAGTTTTTGACAAACATAGTCTGCTAGAACTACCCCCAGCTTCAAAGGGGGAATGAAAGATGAAGTGCTATTTGTATCAGCTTGTGTTAGTTGTTCTGAGTAAGTTCTGTTCAGCTGTAATGCTGAGCTGTCTTAGTTTGTTAGATCATAACAGAATTTTGTTATTCTAGCTCTCTATATAAACAGAGCTATCATTGTATCTCTAATTAATAATGAATACAATTGATATTTGATCTAACTGTATTTTCTGTTAGCTTTATGATATTCTATCATGCAGTTCTCTCTCTTATTCTCTTCTTGGCCTTTATGGTGAAGGGATTACTGAATTGCTTTCTATTAATGCTATTAGTTATTCCGTTTTGGTTTTTTCTATCATTGTTGCTGCTGTTGAATTTTTAATTTCCCTTTTCATTTTTGTTGGATAGTGCAAAGGGAAGAAATCTCAGGATCCTCTCAATATGGCACTTCTGTCTGTTGGTGGAGAGGTAATATCGCATATGTATAGATAGTTTGTGTTACAGCTTTACTATTTTGTATTTGTTGTTCGCTTGATGTTTAGAGATTCCTACCAATGAGTGCAGTGGTATTGCTTCACTTTAAACTCTTTGATTCAATTGTGTTGTGCGGGTTGAGAAACATTTATGACTGCCACTTTTGGATGAATCAATGTGAAGGATGTTGCAAACTCCCCATCCATCTCCACATATCAGAAGGAGTTAAGATGACTCACCATGTACTCCTCTTCCCCTCGTACTGTAACAATCTTCCCCTTCACTGGATATTTTAACATTTGATGGAACGTAGAAGTCATTGCCCCAGCCTTATGAATCCATGGACGACCTAGCAAGCAAGAATAAGATGGTCGAATGTCCATCACATAGAACGTAGACGCAAAAGTATGGGAACCAAGCTTAACAGGGACGTCTACCTCCCCGTGCACCGTCCTTTTGGACCCGTCAAAGGCCCTAACCACAATATTACTTGGCTTCAGAACCAACCCTTCACAGTATAGCCGGTCTAATGCTTTCTTGGGTAGAACATTTAATGAGGACCCGGTATCCACCAGTACGTGGGCCAGAGTAGTGCCCCTGCACTCGATCGAAACATGCAGAGCGTCATTGTGATTCCTTCCTTTAGCAGTCAGATCTGCGTCGGAGAAACCCAACCCGTTGTCAGCGGTCAAACTAGCCACACAGTCTTTGAATTGATCAGCATATGTTTCCTGCGGCACATGCGCAGTTTTAAGGAAAGCAATTAAAGCCTTTGCATGGGCTTCTGAGCACAACAATAAAGACAACATGGAGATCTTCGATGGAGTCTGCCCCAGCTGCTCGACTACGTTGTAGTCGCTCTTCTTGATAATCTTCAGAATTTCCTCTATCTCCTGTCTAGAGGTTTCTACAACAATCTTCTTAGGCGCCTCCGTCCGGACAGACTCACCTGTGATCTCTTTGCCCCGAACGTCAGATGACTCGGCAACAGGGGTGATAATTGGAATATGAACTAGGGCAGTAGCTGATGTACTGGCAGATGGAATGGCAACAGGCTTTCGAACAGTTGGAGGAGAAATCTCAAGAGAGAAGAGTCTTCTACTTCGGGTGACCTTGCTAGACCCGACAATATTGCTGACATCAGTATCAGCCTCTTCAACCTTCAAGTCTTGTTTGATCCCATGATAATACACATCGGCCCCATAGTGCCATGGGACAGCCTTATCCGAAGTGTAAGAGATATGACCAGGAATAATAATGATTAATGGAGCAACTCTCAGAACAGATGTAATCTTAACAGGCTTTCTCGAGGAAGCCTTGGAAGAATTGGCGGAAATGGTTATAATGGAAACATCTTCAACGGGAATCAACAGGATCAAAGTCTTCTCGAACGGGATCTCTTTGTTATCCATCAAGCGTTGAACACCTGACTTCAATAAATGGCAATCAGTAGGCAGGATTGAACATAGGTGGCAACCTTCGCCACAACCCGGAAATAAACCGGCCGATAATAGATTCTTCTTTACTGTCATCAACAGAGTAGAAATGTCTTCCACAGAGGTCACAAATGAATCATCGTCCACAACATTTACTCCATGCTTGGGCATAGGAGCAGTCATGACATTAAGCTTTTCTGGTGCGTCAAACTCAATTTCTTTAGCTTCAATCAAATCTTGCACCTTATTCCTCAAGGCCCAGCAGTTGTTGGTATCATGCCCTGGGCTATCAGAGTGATAGGCACAGTGGGCGTTCGGATTATACAGTGGAGAGGTGGTACTGAGATTCTCCTATGAGTGCAGTGGTATTGCTTCACTTTAAACTCTTTGATTCAATTGTGTTGTGCGGGTTGAGAAACATTTATGACTGCTACTTTTGGATGGATCAATGTGAAGGATGTTGCAAACGTGTATATTTTGGAAAATGACTATGCTTCGGCTAATATAAGATATTGTTTGGTTGGAAGAGTGATACATTTCTCTGAACTGAAATCGGCTGGAAACAAATATGTGAATGCTCCTTTTTATCTCAATGTCTATGATTTGATCAATGTTTGTGGCTTATTAATTACTATTAGTTTGGATCTTCACAGTGGAATTATTTGAGTAGAAATCACGGTGCAGTGTGGGACACAAGTAGGATTCCACAAGTGGCATTACAATCAAGGTTTTTGGTTACATCAGGGTATGATGCAGAAATGGATTTGGGCAGAGAAGGTTCTACCAACTGAGAAATTACACAAGAGGGTTGCTTATGATGTTACATATTTTTTCTTAACATGTATGGCACAAGATGGAATGACCTAAATGTATTGTGGCTATATTGCAGAATTCTTGCTGGATGACTTACATGTTGCCGAAGATCTTGATGTTTAAACAACATATGCTGCTTCACATGTTGCTACTGCAACAGCTAATCAAATGTACAAGCAAGACACTTTCCTGGACGATAAGGATTTGATGATAGGCCCAGGCAAACAGTGTCTGAAATGGCTGCAGCACCCCCAATGAATGGTGACATTTATACTTACATCAACACTGAAAATGCTATACTTCAGGGATCTCGGTAACAGAGAAAGTTTCCTTCCTATTGTGTGATGTAGTTTATGTTCTTTAAATTCATTCAAACTAATTTGAACAGTAGAACCGCCAAAGTTAAGTATCAGGTTGATACATGCTACTTCCCAAAGAAAAAACATGCCTTATATAAATTTCTATATGATATTAATCGCTAGAATTTATTGTACATCATGTGTTCGGTTTTCTACAGGTAGTTGTTATAGAGACTGATGGACCATTATGTGGCATGGTTAGACAACTTTCAATTTATCGCTACTGCTGTTTCTGTAGTAGTCCGGTGAGTCGGGCCTATTCTTTCCTGAAAGAGATATTATTCTGCTAAATTTTCTTCACAATTGGTATGAATCTCACCTTTACATTTTGTAACTGTAGATATATGTCTTTGAATGCAGAATAATGAGCCATGATTATATTTATTGTAAAGTTTGAGTAAATGCACTTCATTTCATCATTAGCTAACAACAATAACTAGGAGGAGTATCTTCTTAGAATAAATTTTCTTGCTAATGACCTTGTTTTCTTACTAATGACCTTGCCACAAATCTTCCTATTAGCAGTAACAATATTTTATATTTTAATCAGAATTTGTATAATTCTTCTTAGGTTCTGATCTGACCTGATCAGACTTGGACCGTCACGGCTGGCTCCGAGCTGAAGTTTTGAACGAGGTGGGGGTACCTGCAAGACACTCCGATGCTGAAGTAAGTAAGAGCACGAGCAGGCAATAGTAAGAGTATGGGTAGAATGATGAATACCTGACCCTCTGGAAATAGAGGGTATTTATAGCCCCCAGCGCTGGGCCAAGGTCCCTTCATTGGGCCGGGCAGGTTTGGCCCAATGAAGGAACTGCCAGGTTCTACGTCTGTAGTGGAGACTCGCGCGTGGTCTCCTTCCTGGATGTGCTGCGTGAAGTGCGGGCGGACGAGGATGCGGTCTTTTCGGGACCCAGGTGAGGGTGCAGTGGACTGAGTCTGCCCTAGGAGGGGTGCTCGAGGTGAGGTCGAGCTGGACAGTAGGAGGTCGAGCAAGTAGCCCCAGGGAGTACGTCGGGCACGACTGTGATCCTTTGGTCGGCGTGACCCCCAGCAAGTCTTTTTGGATTGGGCCTTATCAATGCTATTGGGCCTGTCGGGCCCAGTCCAGAACAGGAGCCCCCAAGTCGTGGTTCCTTGGGTTAGGAGCCATGGCTTGATCTTAGGTTGCTTCCGTTTCGTGGCCTCGTGCCCGGGCCAGAGATGCAGCTCCTCGTGGGGGTACTCGAGGGTTTTCCCGTATCGTGTTCGAGGACAAATCCCCCGCGGGGAATGCTCGGGGATTCCTCAACGGCACGCGTCTGTCGAGCACGCGAGGTATCTTTTGGGAACTGTGCCGCCACCCTATGAGGATAGGGTCATCATTGCCTAGGGGAGTTGCGCGTCGAGGAGGTGTATCCGTGGCTGCCCGAGGTGACGTTTGGTATTCCACGTCATCACTATAAATAGGATCCTTGGGCCCCGGAACGTGTTACTACACTTCGCTCTTCTCCTCTTCGCTCTGTTTCTGCTGCTGTTGTTCTTCCCAGATTCCCATAGCATCGCCGCGATCTCCGTCACCGATTCCTTTCCTCCATTGCCAAATCTACTCCTTGATTCCAAGTAAGTGATTTGTCTTCTCTGTTTTTCTGTTGTGATGCATGATTTTCATTGTTTTAGACGTTTTTAGAGGCTGTGCGCGTGGGAATAGCCCGATAAACTTATGTTCAGCCCGACAAATTCATGCATGAGGTCGGCAAACACATGTTCGTGGCCGGTAGATACATAGTTTAGGTTATAATCTGCAGTGCTGCCCAGGGTCTTCATGATCCAGGGCGCCTAATTCGTGATCGTGCCCGGTAGAGTCATAGCTCTAGATTTAGGCTTTATGATGTTGCTCGCCATGTTCATACCCCGGGTCGACGTATTCACGAGTGACCGCGTTGTCGGCTTCTTTAGGCGACTTGTAGAAGGGCCCGTCGAGGCATCTGGAAGTCGGGGAGGCGACTGCTATTTTTGTTTCAAACCAACTTTGTGGTCGTGCGTCGAGCGACGCGGTTTGTCGTGCACTTCATCTTGTCCGTTTCGACGAGCGTATGGTTTCGTGCCCAATTGTCTGATTTCCCGTGCTCTGTAGGTAACCATGGCGGATGAGCCGTGCTCTTCAGGACGCCCCGAAAGGGAGGAACAAAGTGCCGACGAGACTGTGAATTTGATCGACACCGTAGAGGACCCTCTGTTGGACTGGGTGGGTGCCGAGCCTAGAGGAATCGCCTCTGTCTATAGTCGGCGCAGCCGAAGGCCATATGTTGTCCTTGAGGCGGGCCACGACCAGCCCGATTTTCAAAAGAATTTCGTCGTTACTAGACCGACCTTCACTGCTCGGATTTGCTCGGTGTTCCCCGAGTACAGTTTCCCCATGTACGAAATTGCATTCAAAGACCTTGGGTTGCAGCTGCCCTTCAGCGACTTTCAGGCCGGGGTCTTTGGCCATTTGGGGCTGGCCCTGTCGCAGCTACACCCAAATTCACTCGCCTTTATCCGGGCGTTTGAGCTGACCTGTCGTTTTCTGAGGATTGGGGCGACTATACCTCTCTTCTTCAGAGTCTTCCATCTGCAGCGCCAGTCCCGGGGAGGAAAGCACAACTGGGTTTCCCTGAAACAGTCGAAGAGACTTTTCAGGATGTACATGGACTCTGTGCGGGGTTTTAAAGACAAGTGGTATGTGTTGAGGCCGGTTACCACAACCGCTTTAGAGTCCCTGTACGAGGAGGAAGCGGCGATAAGCGACGATGACTGGGAGGCACTTTTAGACAACGACGGGCATCCGGTGTTGGGACGCACGGCCAAGTTCCCCGTGCATTGGATTTCTAGACATTATGAGCACGGTACTGGGTATTATCATACGTCTGCGGGCGACATGGGTTCCGAGGATGAGAAGGCTTACGACACTCTTTGTCGGTACGTTGATAGCTTCCACCCCGCCAGATGGGCCACGAGGGAGGGGGAAGATGTCCTGGACGAGGAGGGTTATCCGACATTCGAGGCCCGACCGATCGATACGAAGGCACTCGTGGAGTGCCAGTCATTCGGGCAGTCTGCTCGTCTGCTAGGTCGTTTATTGCTTGAATTTGCTTGCCATTTGTTTGTTTATTTGCGCGACACTAACCCGGTTTTTTATTTGTGCAGGTTCGATGGTCGGGCGACGGGAGAGGCTCTTGAAGTTGTCCTGTGATCGGAGGGCGAGCAAGAGGGTTGTGAAGGCCCCTCAAGCAACGAGGATGGGCCCGCCGCATAGTCCGGGCGCTCCTCATGTGGTGAGGGTGGATTCGTCGCCTAGCTCGGGGGCTGCTTCGGAAGAGACCCCGGAGGTCCAAGAGGTCGAGCCACATGCCGACCTGATACAAAGAAAAAGGAACCGGGTGGAAAGTGGGCCGGCGGTCGGCGAGGATTCCAGTTCCGTAAGGTCCTTCGGGTTGCCCCCCTTGCTTCAAAGATGAGGGTTTCTTCGAGGGGTTCCCTTTGTCCGTGACTGTCGATGAGGCTGAGGCCATCAGGAGGATGAGCAAGGAGAACCGGAGGAGGCACCTGGCCGCCAATATGGCGGGGCTGGTGAAGATGGCTGAAATGGCCGTTGTGCTGTCACAGCCACTTACGGGCACTCCTCGGGCCCATAACTTAGGCCAAATTTTGTGCAAAAACATAAAACGCAAGCACGGGCATACAATCAAAATTGAAACAAAGCATTCATTCAAAAATGCCCGTAGGCAACAAAGCAAATAAATATAAACTGACCAAGAAGGCCGGCGATGTTCATGAAGTACAACCAACGGGCGCACAGGCCTAAAAAATACGAACAGGCACGCAGGCCCAAAACAAATATCAACAAGGAACACAGGCCCATCATCTTACAATTCAGTTCCCCCGGAGCCATCATCACCGACAACAGGAGAGTCGGGCGGGGGCACGATCGTGCCATCCACGATCTGAGACATGTAGCCCGTCCCTTCAGTGATCAAACTGGGGTTCAGTAAGGAAAGCTGGCTGACCGCTGACTCGAACCCCTCCTCCATAGCGCCGACGCAATCCGCTTCGAGGAGCCGGATACGGGCGACCAGCCTCAATCGACTCCTCAAAGCGGCTATGTCCTTCGGCTCATCCTCGGCAGGAAGCATGGCGACCCTCAGGTCCTCAATCTCTCTGGTGAGGCGCCCGATGTCGATTTCCAGACGCTCCTGATCCGCACGGAGAAGCTCTGTCTTCTCGGCTAGCTTCCCCGAGCTCTCCTTCTCCAGAGTCAGCATCTCTCTCTCGGCAGCCAGCAGCGCGGCTTGCTCGCGGAACATCTCCTCGGAGCGCTCCAGGGCAGTCCTTAACTTTCGCGAACTCGAGGTGAGGGCCGCTTTTTCCTGTTCCAATTCTTTGATGCGGTCGGGATCCTCCCCTTCCTCGGACAGCACAACGGCCATTTCAGCCATCTTCACCAGCCCCGCCATATTGGCGGCCAGGTGCCTCCTCCGGTTCTCCTTGCTCATCCTCCTGATGGCCTCAGCCTCATCGGCAGTCACGGACAAAGGGAACCCCTCGAAGAAACCCTCCTCTTTGAAGCAAGGGGGGCAACCCGAAGGACCTTACGGAACTGGAATCCTCGCCGACCGCCGGCCCACTTTTCACCCGGTTCCTTTTTCTTTGTATCAGGTCGGCATGTGGCTCGACCTCTTGGACCTCCGGGATCTCTTCCGAAGCAGCCCCTGAGCTAGGCGACGAATCCACCCTCACCACATG